CTGAGGTATACAATATATCCTATGTCCCAAAGGACCACAAGCTGAAGTTTGATTCTTGGCAATAAACTCTAAAAGTTCTAAAAGTTATCTGTTTATATCCTTCCGAAAAAGTGATGGAGTTAAAGTCTATAGCACGTAATTCCGAAACTCTGGAAGCTGTTGCAAATGCCAAAAGAAAAGCTGTCTTAAATGCCAGATACTTTAGAGAAGCATCCTGCATAGGCTCATAAGGAGATTTTTGAAGAGATTGAAGTACTAACGTTAAATCCCACTTAGGAAATATCGTTGGACACGATATATCCTTAATTTGAAAAGATCTGATCATTTTGTGAAGAGATGTATCCAAGCCAACAGATAAACCTTGAACATCCATGACTGAAGCAATAGCTGATCGATATCCCTCAATAGTATTATGCTCAAATGTTTCTGTTCTCTTAGGAACAAGATAAAATCCGCTATCCTTGGAATGGTGACAGGTACATCCAAGATTCCACACTCTTGTTTCCACCGGATGAATCGTCGCCACTTAGCATCGTACAGGCAGCTGTGGAAGGTCTAACGGATTCTGAAATAGCTCTGGTAGCTTCAACTGTAAATCCCTGATTCCTTAGTGACCTTGAGATAGCTTCCATACGTGTAGCGCAAGTTGCCTGACATTCTTGTGAACTCTGTTGGACTTGGGTTGACTGATTAGATTATGCCACAACGGAAGATGTAGAGGTTTGTCCACCAATAGTTGTAGTAGGGTGGGAAACCAAGGTCTGGCAGGCCACGCTGGTGCCACTAGATAAACTAGACAGTCGTGCTGTTGAATTTTTAACAGAACCTCTGGGATTAGTTTTAACGGAGGAAACGCATAGGCTATCATCCCCTCCCATGATATGGATAGGGCGTTGACTGCCCATGCCAATGGATTTGGTACTGGACTCACAAACGTTGGTATCCAAAAATTCCTGGAAGTTGCAAATAAATCTATGTTTAGAATTTCCCACTTCTGTCCTATCAAATCGAATGCCTCTTCCTTGAGAGTCCATTCGGTCGAGATCACTCTGTCTTATCGAGATAATGAGTTCGCTAAGATATTCTTCCGACCTGGAATGTGGCGTGCTCTGATTAAACAATTTATAGCATCCACTGCTTGATACAGATCCTGAGTGATCCCGAGGAGCTGTTGAGATTTGGTACCTCCCTGTTTGTTGATGAATGCCACTACCATAGAATTGTCCAATGCTAACATGAGACTCTTCCCGTACAGCGATTCCCCAAGCAATGAATCGCTTTCAACAGTGCTAACATCTCCCGACAGTTTATATGCAGATTCACCTCTGACAGATTCCACACACCTTGATTTTGCCAAATGTCCATGTGTGCACCCTAACCTGTGTTCGAGGCATCCGCATAAAGTGTCAGATCCGGTAAACGAGGACGTAATGAAACTCCTGGCAACACATTCAGGTCCACCGACCACCATAATACCTCAATTCGGACTCTGTCCGGACAGGCTATGAGAAATTCCAAGTCCTCCATCCGAGACTGGTTGAGCCAGATCTGCGGGATTCTCAACCTTAGTCTTCCTCTTACAGTATAATCCTGGATTGAAGTGAGAGATCCTAGAAGGGACATCCATGAACGAACTGATGCAGTTGGCGTCTGTAATATATTGGTTATCTTGGTTGATATTTCCACCCAACCATCCTGAGGAGTATAAATACGGTCTGCTTTGAGTCAAAGATTGCTCCCAGAAACTTGATTCTCGTAGAAGGGACCACTTCTGACTTGGTAGTATGAACTATTAGACCCAGATGTGTAAACACGTGGATCATAAAGTTGGTTTGCTTCATGAGAACAGCTGTCACCACATTCCTTGCCAAGAAATCATCCAGATAGCCGTGTATCGCAATCCTTCGTTGATGAAGAAAAGCCAGAATCGGGGAGATTATTTTTGTGAACAACCACGGCGCTAGAGATATCCCGAACAGCAGCACCCTGAACTGAAACCTGCGACCGTTCACCGAAAATCTTAGGTATTTGCGAGATCTTGGATGAACAGGGATATGAAGATACGCATCCTTTCGATCTATACTTATAAACTTGGAATCCTGACGAATCAAGGTGCGTAGGTTTGCAATTGATCCCTTTGGCGGTTTCCTCAAAAATAGCTTGTTCAACACTTTCAAGTCTATTATCATGCTCGCATTTCGTCCGAATCTTTCTTGGGGACTAGGAATACCAGTGAATAAAACCTGCATGTCTGATCCCCTGGAGGAAGTTCTATGATTGCCCGTTTCCCTAGTAGCTGATTTATTGCTAAGTTTGCCCCCGCTAAACACTGGCCTTGAAGACAAAATTGACGACCCTCTGGAAAACAAGTCACTGGAGGTTGCTTGTGCCAAGGAAGAATAAACCCCCTGATCATTACAGACAGGACCCACTTGTCTGATGTTATTAGTTTCAAATTGTCTAAGTATTGGGCCAATCTGCCCCCTACTGGAGATTGTGTCACCACACATAGAAATTCCAAATCCAATATCATTTCGAGGGACGTTTCCAATTCGTAAGGAAGAGAACGCTGAACAGTGAGACTTGAGTCAATATTTCTTGGAAGTTGATCTTGATCCACAAAAATATCTACTTCCCCTACCTCTACCCCATGAGGATGAGCCTCTTGTAACAGCCACATTTGTAGAACACGCTCTTGAATCCGAAGCCAATCAAAGGCAGATCTCTGAAAGTTCTGACTACGACTTGATGAAGATGGAGCAGAACGAGACGTAACACTGGAACCCCTTCTAGATCTAGTGTCAGCCCTTCCTCTATTTTGGAAAAAAAGAGCCGACGCCAAACGTTGATTCAAGTTCCTCGACGTCAAGGCATCTCTAGCTTCAATAGCCTGTTGACATTGTCCATTAAAGGTGTTATCCGATTCCAAGGGCTGGTGCAATAGAAAATCCCTTGAAACATCCGGTAAATTCCTCACTGAATCTAGCCGCTGTATCCGCTCAATAGCTGTAAGTCGTCCCAATATATTCACTTGAGTCGCCATCGCATCGGCTAAGGATTGATACACTACATCCAGAAAGGAATGCGCTAACGCCACCTCTTGAGCAGTCATGGAAATCAAAGTGTCTTTCTGAACTCCCGTATAATCTTGAAACACCAGTGGGAGCAAGGCATGAACTCCCGCAGAAAACCAGTTTGAATAAGATAGAATATCAATCGCCGAACAGGCTGCCGTATCCAATTCCTTACAATTCTTGAAAGTACAGAATGGTGAATAGTCACAAGAGCCTCTATCATCCTGTAACTGTTTAAAGTCCTTGTCTAAACTTGGTTGATTGGCTGGGATAACACGATCATGAATGGAATTAATGGGTTTATGAGAAACCCTAGGCAAAGAACTCAAGTTCATAGCCTTGGAGAGGCCTAAGTTGTAATTCTCCAACACTTTCTTAAGTGATGATGAATGTGGTAATGACAGCCTGGGCATCCGTTCCGGGGGAAGGCAACCTGATAATCTGAGTTCCACGGGAATATCTATCTCCTGTTCGTCCGATGGTGGTGGTAGAGTATTAGGATGAAGTCCATGCAAAAGTTCCAGCTTTTGTTTAAATGACCAGCCCGGCTTAACATCCTGTGCTGACATGTCCATAGGTTGTACCGTCAACAAGCCTTCTTTCATGGAAAACTCTGTTTGTGAAAAAGGATACACCGATGAATCTTCCTGATCCGTCACATCAGACACTAACGGAATTTAGGGCGGATTGTCCGTGTCAAAATAACCTTGCGGGTCCGTAGCCGTGTCCTCTGAACCGCTAGGCCCGTGCACATCAGACTGCTGGGTTGATACACCATTATCCATAGCAGCCGACCCAGTGGCCTGGCTTGAGCCGGGGCAGGAATCACGTGCCGTCTGAGCCGAGTCAGACCCGTGAAATCCTAGCCGCCCGGTCTCCCCGTGGGAGAAGGTAGCAGGCTGTATGCGACAAGGAGCAGCCACAGATGACTGGCTCCCGGGGACAAAGGACGCGGGGGGTGTGGCCTGAGCCACGGTCACCCCTGGATCCGGAGCCGGCTGGGCCGACTCCATCCGCGTTGCTTGAAGCCCTAGGGGGACCGGCCTCCTACGTACGCCAGGGCATGATAACCGGCTTTCCCAGTCATTGCAACCCTGGTTTCCGTAGGAAGGGACTTTGGCTCCCAGCCCTTGCCATCGACCATGAAGCCCCTACGGCTGTCTGCCGTCCTGCTGGGTAATACAGGATCTTCCAAATGTTTTGACAGGCGATCAAATTTTTCGTCATTCCTCATCTCCATATCCCGTACAGATTTATCCATGGGCGGCTGGATATCCGATATAAATCCCGCCAAAAGTTCTGAGAACGCAGCTATATCCAACTGGGGAGAGGTTTTTTTATTTAGATCAAGAACGAGACTTCGGTTCAGATTTTATAGATAAAGGCTGAGATCCCTGAACTTTCTTCGACTTAGAGCATTCTGATGACGATGAATGTTTAAGCTTCCTAACTAAGGAACGACATTTGTCCATCAACAAGCAATCTTTTTCCGACATTTCCTGACACAATAAGCATCGATCCGATATTGAGCAAGGTAAGCCTTTATAACAGGAAGCACACAGAGAGTGGGGATCAACATCCGCCACGAATTTCTGACATTGTAAACATTTGCTCTGCGCCATACTTGTCAATCAAAAAAGGGCGGGAAAACTTCAGATCCTAAACACGTTGGAAATATATATAATATAAATGCAAAACAGCAATGCGATAGAATATTAAATGGAATGCGATTTGTAACTGACCTAGATATGAAGAATTGAAGACTTGATTTGAAATGAAAATTTCACTCGATTCTCTGCGTGTGGACCATACAGAAAAATTATGAAGGGTTCTAGGAGAACAATACAGTGATGTCAGTGACTCAGGGGTAGATTATCAACTGCATGTCTGGGGCACATGAGCTAGCCTCCAGTATGAGTTACCTACCTTGGCTGTCCAAGGATGAGCACATTGAGGACACTGAGACAGCAGAGAGCCACCAAGATCGAGATGACCACAGACAAAGTGGAATGCAGTCGATATGCAAAAGTCTAAAACAAAAAATTCACTTCCTATAATAACAGTCAGCTCTCTTTAATCCGACACTTGTGGTTGCAGAGAAATATGTCGGATTACCGAGTATGTCGGATTAATGTACTTGTGTGAAAATATCAATGTTTACTAAATGTCATGATCGCCATACTGTTGCATGCATATCAGAAATTGTAGATCTGGTTATCGTCTTCGTATCTAAAAACATTCACAGTAATAAAAAATATAACCATAAATCCTTGATATCATTTATTAACATTCATAGATGGCATAACATACATATAAAATCACATAATCAATTTCAAAATCACATTGGCACAAAACTCACGTTTGTTTTTACCGGTCGTCGCTATTTTACTCTAAGCAGCCATTATGGCCCAGGTGTTTATTGAGTCACTGTTTACATACAACTAGTTCCACACTAACATATTCCTTCAAAAGGCAGATTTCTTTCTTGATCAATGGCATAACTTCTACTCGGGCTCGCTTAGCAGGTGGTGTACTCGTGACAGACATCTTAAGCTTGTCGTGATGAATGCTCAGGTCGGTTGTAAACATTTTATACAGCTCGCTCTATTGTTATTTCTTGATTAAATCGTCTCAATTAATTATCTTGTGTTTCTAATTAACAAGTGTGATGTTCACCGACGTGGGTGTCAAGCAGCCAGTAAGGCACGTGCTAATCACCTTTCATGTGTGATGTTTGTTTACGGTCGGATTATCCGACCACCTGTGTTGATTGTCAGATAAACAGATGTTTTTACAATTTATTTACAATGATCACTTGCTAGATTGGTATGTCGGAGTCGGAATGCGAGAATGTCGGATTAACGAGAGTCATTATCACAGTTTTAAATGGTTCCCTAATTTTTTGTCAGATTAACGTGATTGTCGGATTAATGAGAGCTGACTGTATAAGGTTTTATATATGGGAGATTGTTAACTTAACAGTCAGAATATGACAAAACAGATGACCAAGTCACTTAACACTTGAGAATCTCTGGCTTAGGTATACACAGATAATTACTTCCAACAACAACAGTAGTAGACTCAATAACCTCTGGTGTAGGCATACTTACAACAGCAACAGCATTAGGCATTCTCTATACCCTTGTGCCTTCACCAGAGAGTCAAATGCTGTTGTTATAAGTATACCCTTGTGCCTACACCAGAGAGCCTAATGCTGTTGTTGTAAGTATATCCTTGTGCCTACACCAGAGAGTCAAATGCTGTTGTTACAAGTATACCCTTGTGCCTACACCAGAAGTCACAAGGGTATACTCACAACAACAGCATTAGGCTGGTGTAGGAACAAGGTTATACTTACAACAACAGCATTAGGCTGGTGTAGGCACAAGGATATACTTACAACAATAGCATTAGGCGCTCTGGTGTAGGCACAAGGGTATACTCAACAGCATTAGGCTGGTGTAGGCACAAGGATATACTTTCAACAACAGCATTAGGCTCTCTGGTGTAGGCACAGGGTTATACTTACAACAACAGCATTAGGCTGGTGTAGGCACAAGGGTATACTTACAACAACAGCATTAGGCTCTCTGGTGTAGGCACAAGGATATTCTTACAACAACAGCATTAGGCTGGTGTAGGCACAAGGGTATACTTACAACAGCATTAGGCTCTCTGGTGTAGGCACAGGGTTATACTTACAACAACAGCATTAGGCTGGTGTAGGCACAAGGGTATACTTACAACAACAGCATTAGGCTCTCTGGTGTAGGCACAAGGGTATACTTACAACAACAGCATTAGGCTCTGGTGTAGGCACAAGGGTATACTTACAACAACAGCATTAGGCTCTCTGGTGTAGGCACAAGGTTATACTTATAACAACAGCATTAGGCTCTCTGGTGTAGGCACAAGGGCATACTTACAACAACAGCATTAGGCTCGAGTATCTCTGGTGTAGGCAGAGGACTATACTTCTCATGGCAACAGCATTAGGATCTCTGGTGTAGGCATGAAGCTATACTTACAACAGCAACAGCATTAGACTGGAGCATCTCTGGTGTAGGCAGAGGACTATACTTCTCATGGCAACAGCATAAGGATCTCTGGTGTAGGCATGAAGCTATACTTACAACAGCAACAGCATTAGACTGGAGCATCTCTGGTGTAGGCAGAGGACTATACTTCTCATGGCAACAGCATAAGGATCTCTGGTGTAGGCATGAAGCTATACTTACAACAGCAACAGCATTAGACTGGAGCATCTCTGGTGTTGTGAGCACCACACAGTAGGAGAAGTTGGTCAACGTGTACAGGATGATTGCAGAGATAAACGTCAGGCCCAGGGATCTTGGAACATTTCTGCAATCAATAAAGAATATATTCAGTGTGACTAGCGTGGTGGTAGAAACCAGACACGAATCACGTGCAACTGTCAATATCCCATAAACTACACTCAAAATGTCTACACAAGACAGTTTCAATTCTGTTTTAAAAAAGTATCTACTTGAGAAGCTTAGGATCACATGGGAGGGCAACCAAGTCAGTGATCCAGACCACCCCATCCTGTTAGTCGCCTGTTATGATAAGGATGGGTTACCGAAGATCAATTTTAACCCGGATGTTCACAGGTCGCTGTCCCTGCTGTAATCATGAAGCCGTCTCACCTGACTGGGTCCTTTACCTCCTCCATGAGGATGCTGATCACTTGCCTGCAACATCCACCATTACAATCTGTCAGGTATTCAAACACTAAGGACCAGGGTGCCGTTGTACAAAGCAATCTTAGGGATAAGGTGACCGTAACTCCCATACCTTAACATATACCTAAGGTAGTCTTAGCGCTAAGGTTGTTTTGTACAATGGTACCCAGGGCCTAGATTTTCATAGCTCTCTTAGAGCTAAGATAGTCGTAAGTTAATGTTAATATATGGCACTTATGACCATCTTAACAATAGGAGAGCTGTGATGAACTGCAGCGTTACGAACTGGGACGAGTCTCAATTTACTTCCATTGTATCAACAATATACACAAACTCTATGGAAAATAACTTCTTATTTCATTTCGATACAGATTCTTGTACCATTGTCAAGCATTCACGAAACAAAGAAGTTGTTATCAATAAATTTAGTCTATATTGTACTTCCCAACTCCTGAAATGCCACTCAAAGAAGTTATCCAACTCCATGTGGGTACATGCAGTATGAGCTGGGTGCAGTTTGTCATATTGGGAGTTGTTTCACCAGAGCACTTGCAAAAACTAGTCACATACACCGGAAAATGATCTCATTATGCATGCTCTAAAGTTGGCTGAAGTTATATTATTTAAAAAAAACCAGAACAGCGGCGCAAAACTAAACTCATTCACTCAGTCACTCTAAACAAGCCAAACAGAACGGCTGCATTGTCAGAAAAAGACATGAACACTTGTAGGGTAACCATGGAATATATATTAGTATTGCCATTAAACAGTACATGACATGTCTAACAATTAGTTAGGGTACGACATGGGGGTAAGGTCCTGATTAGGGCCCACCCAACCCAGGTACATGAGTTAACCATATCTGCCCTAGTTCATCTATCTGTTAAGTATAAAACCTGAGTTGTCAGGATGTGCACAACTACTTTCCTTTAAATATATACTGTATATAACACCTGAATATGATTTTGTTATATCGCTCTTTGGTCTTTCGTGGAATTGTATTCTGAATGGCCTCAGTGCTCTGTATTCTGCTAAACATACAGCCATGTTCCCTGATAACTTAGAAATAGAAACAGACTTTAAAGGTCCTGTAGCTCACATGTGTGTTTCTGGAATATATTAGGAAATACATGGATAAAGAAGAAATAACAGAAAGGTTAAAATTACAAGGAAACAATATAGACCTCTTGATATTATGTTGTATTTTTCACATTAAATGAAAGCCAAACTTACACTTACATCATGTCTGCCATAGCACTAATGGTAGTCACAGCCATAAATGAAAGCCAAAGGTTAGAGCTTTATCAAACTGCACTGTAAAATATATTTTTTTAGCACAGCACACACTTACTTTTTATAAAGATATATGCTGCCATGGGTGAGCAATGAGCACACAATAATTTCAACATGGCCGCCATGGCAGATTGGAACTACCGGTAGAACATACATTTGCTGGGATTACTGCTGCAGCAACAGCAGTATGTTGCCAGACAAGCAGGCTGTCATAGTTTTACTGACCACAACAGTATCATGCCATCATTTAAGTACAAGTGCTACACTGCAAGCGACACTATTCATTGACTTACCAACCTCCATATGAGAAGTAGCCCGACACAAGGCCCAGAGCTATGTTCCCTGGGTCGGTGGTGGTTCCCTCCCAGAACAGAGGCAGCTGTTCCCGGTATCTCTCTGAAACAACATCTCACTCATGTTCGTGTTGCGCTGATTGGATCACACGGGCTTGTATTGATGAAAATAATATGTCCTAGGTTCATTTCTCGTTCACTGATAGCCATCTACATGTGAACTTATTTATATGTAGATGGTTATCAGTGAACGAGTGTTGGACCTAGGACGTATTAGTTTCAGCAATACAAGCCCCTGTGGATTAGAAGGGTTCAATACACAGGACATAAGTTCAGGTGACTTTCAACTCTTTTTAAGAACAGTTATTCTCTCTGTGTCTCCCTCTGTGTGTCTCTCCCTCTGCGTGTCTCTCCCTCTGTGTGTCTCTCCCTGTGTGTCTCTCCCTCTGTGTGTCTCTCTCTCCCTCTGTGTGTGTCTCTCCCTCTGTGTAGCTCTCTCTCCCTCTGTGTGTGTCTCTCTCCCTCTGTGTGTCTCTCTCTCCCTCTGTGTCTCTCTCTCCCCCTGTGTCTCTCTCTTCCTCTGTGTCTCTCCCTGTGTGTCTCTCCCTGTGTGTCTCTCCCTGTGTGTCTCTCCCTCTTTGTGTCTCTCCCTCTGTGTGTGTGTCTCTCTCTCCCTCTGTGTGTCTCTCTCTCCCTCTGTGTCTCTCTCCCTCTGTGTCTCTCTCTCCCTCTGTGTGTCTCTCTCTCAATCTGTGTCTCTCCCTGTGTCTCTCCCTCTGTGTGTCTCTCCCTGTGTGTCTCTCCCTCTGTGTCTCTCCCTCTGCGTGTCTCTCCCTCTGTGTGTCTCTCCTGTGTGTCTCTCCCTCTGTGTCTCTCTCTCCCTCTGTGTGTGTCTCTCCCTCTGTGTGTGTCTCTCTCTCCCTGTGTGTCTCTCTCTCCCTGTGTGTCTCTCCCTGTGTGTCTCTCCCTCTGTGTGTCTCTCTCTCCCTGTGTCTCTCTCTCCCTCTGTGTGTCTCTCTCTCCCTCTGTGTGTCTCTCTCCCTCTGTGTATCTCTCTCCCTGTGTCTCTCCGTCCGTGCGTCCCCCCCCCCCCCGCTCTCTCTCTCTCTCGTACGCGTGTGGTCGAACGTTGCAACAAACACAAACAAAAGACAAATAAAACCCCAGACAAACAAACAAACAAACACATGATCTAAATCTGCAACAGTGACATTGAAGTGATTGAGGACTTACTGTCACTCAGCTTGTACAATCCCCGATGATGATGATGAGCATGGCTATGACCTTTGCTAAGCTGAGGATGGACTGGAACTTGGTGATGATCTTCATGTAGAGGCAGTTCAGGAACACCAGGAACACTGAAGCATGAGGAGGCTTGAAATATGTAAACAGTGGAAAGTCAGTCAGTCGTCAGTCAACAATATTCTGAATTGTGATGTTTGTTTGTTGTTTAATGCTGCACTCATCAATGTTTTATGATAGCTGTCTGTAGGGCTTCAACGAGTCCATTTTCTTGGACTCGAGTACTCGAGGGGTGAGACTCGACTCGGACCCGAGTACTCGAAATTCATACCTTTCAAACAAACGATAGCGTAACCAGCATGACATGTGTTCCGATCACACAAGTGAACACTTACTTCATTCCGACTTCATATCGTCGTGTGACTAACATTTCCTATTGGTCAGAATCCGTATTTGGATGTTTACTTGCCAAATGTTTTTATTTTCATCGTACTGGTTGTACTGCCTGCATAATGCAGTAATATACCGCACAGGAGGCATTTGGTTATTTTTCTCTTTTCACTATCCAGATCAAGACACGCCCATACATTTGATTTTTTATTGTTCTCCATGTCTGTTAAGATAGTTACCTAATCATTTTAAGAAGTGAAATCTCAAACGATGTATAATAATTACTCTCATCTGCAGACTTGTAACAACTAATACCATACAGCCACACCTTGTGAGGAGTAAACTATTTAATCTAGGCCTTTATTAAAACATTATTAGATGGGTTAAAGAATTCAGGGTACATAGAACTCAGTATGTCAGTGTCAATTGCTCTCAATCTTCTTTCCTCTCAACCTCTACTGGAGCTCCACAGGACTGTGTTCTTTCATCCGTACTCTTTGTTTTGTATACCAATGACTGTTACTTGTCATTAAATGACTTGTTTACTGTGAAATTCGCAGATGATGCCACTGTTACTAGCCTAATTTCTGATTCTGAACCTTATAATCGTCAAGTCATTGACAAAACCGTAATGACAGTTTTTATCAAACCTTTATTCAAAGTGTGTTGACCTACAATTTTCTATGTTGGTATGGGGCCTGTCTGATCGCAACAAAAACAAACTTTTCAAAATTGTTAATACTGCCGCCAAATTTTCGAGTATATTCCCTTTATCTATGAGCGCCAGATGGTCAAAAAGGCAACTAAAATTAGATTTGATCGTTAACATATTTTATCTCACCATTTTGAAGTACTTCTTTCTGGACGCTGCTGTCGATTACCTTCCCTCAACACAAACAGATCTCGACAGTCTTTCATACCATCAAGTATTCGTGAATGCAACAAATATTTTGAATTATCTACATGTGATAACAACTAGAATTATTCAGCCTCTTTACCTATGTGGTTAATTGAATTATATCATGTCAGTTTTATTGTGTAAATAGCTTTCGTTTTGTGCATGTAATTATTGTGTATATTTTTGTGAATTGTGTACATATTCATTTTGAGACAGTTTGGATGTATAAGAATTTCCTCCGGGATAATAAATTTATATCTTATCTTAATATTAGACGTTAACGGCCGCTCATGCTTAGCACATGGCAGACGGACAGTCTGTCATTGTAATCCAATAATTCGAGTTATCTCCCCTTTTCGAGTCCTCAAGTCCTAGAAAATGGACTCGAGTCCAGCTAAACCCGACTCGTCCTCGAGTACTCGAGTACTTTTGGAAGCCCTAGCTGTCTGTAAATAATCAAGTCGGGATCACAAAATCCAGTGATCGACATCATGAGCATTAATCTATGCAATGGGCACAGATGATATGTGTCAACCAAGTCAGCAAGTCTGACACCTGATTCCATCTAAAATGCGATCACCTATTGATCACCGACTCTGTCTAAAATGCAACCACCTATTGATCACCCATTCCGTATAAACTGCGATCAGCTATTGATCACCGATTCCGTCTAAAATGCAATCACCTATTGATCACTAATTCCATCTTAAATGCTATCACCTATATGATCACTGATTCCGTCTAAAATGCGATCACCTATTGATCACCGATTCGGTCTAAAATGCAATCACCTATTGATCACTAATTCCGTCTTAAATGCTATCCCCTATTGATCACTGATTCCATCTAAAATGTGATCACCTATTGATCACTGATTCCATCTAAAATGTGATCACCTATTGATCACTGATTCCGTCTAAAATGCGATCACCTACTGATCACCAATTCCGTCTATAATGTGATCAGCTATTGATCACAAAGGTTTCCCTTGAATATTGATAAACAAAATGGTGGAAACAAAGAATGGAATATTTTCTGACATTGTCATGTCCACTGTATCCATGACTACACGGTGACTCACCATATGAGGCAACATTTTCTCCAGTATGTAGAAAACAGGGTCTGCAGTTACAATCACTTTCAAAAACTCTAGGTCACTCTATAACCAATATTGATAATACAAAATAGGTTCCATAATACAGAATATAATATAGTATAATGAATATCTGCGTTGTTCTGTATAAAGGATACAATTCCATATATATAACATAAAGGATTTTTATACGGCATACATGCTAAAATTTACAATGACCTTATTAACAGTATCTCTACTGCTAGTATACCAGTACATGAAATATATTCTGCACCGTTATTATCATATCTTTAATACAATATTTAGTTAGAGGCCTCAGGGTTGTGTAAACATGTTTACAGTGTAGAGTTACCACAAGTGTGCAATGTGGAACAAACTCATTTTACTCAGCAATATTTTGTCTTATGATTACAGACCGTATATAGTGGAGTCTCAGCGGGTTGTAGTCAAAAGGGCCGAAGGACAAAAGGGCCGAAAAAAAAGGTCAAAAGGGCCGAGGCTAAAAGTCAAATGGGCCGAAATGAAAAGTCAAAAAGGCCGAAAAAAGGGCCGAAAAATAAAAAATTTAATAAATTACATAGTAAAATAGTGTAAATATTGTTTAATTTGTTGTTATTTAAAATGGAATTTGAACATGAGACTCAAATGTTTTCATTGTGAAGTGCCTTTACTCAGTGTCATGACTAATCGGTATTGGATGTTTGTTTTTGTTGTTGTTGTTGTAGTAAGTTTTTAATCCAAATCTATTTAAACATGGGATGTTTGTTTTTCTTGTTGTAAGTTTTTAATCCAAATCTAATTAAAACATGGGAGTCTAACGTTTTTATTGTAAAGTAGATGATGAGGGCATCGTTACAGAAGCTGGTTGATCTCTGTGACTACATGGAGCGACAGTGGATGGGTCACTCGATCTTCACTGTGGGCAGTTGGTTACTTAGTTATTTACTTTATTAAGCGTCGCACGCACAACTAAGTTATTTCGGCGACGGTGTAGCGTAGTGCAGTTATTAAGAAATGAATGGGAACAAAACTTATAAATTTTGAAAGAATGGTGTTACTACCCCCCAAAAAATAGAAACGGAGTATTAAGGGAAATTTAAATGGAAGGCCGAATTAAACAAGTAAGGAAAGAAATGAAATAAGTAAAGAGTACTAGAGATTTGGATTTAATATAGATGTGGTATAATAAATGGTTATTGTTATTGAACGAATGAATTTGTGTAAATTACCATTATATAATTTTTGTTAATTATGTGAACTTGCGTTAAGTAAATTATTAACTATATGTATTGCCATTACATGTAAACCTGGCTACATGCTTGGCTATTACAATGTCATTACCATTTTATTAATGTTATGATGATATTAATGTTTCAGTGCTATATGTGTCAATAAATAATGTATAACCTTTCTAAACTTTTTTTCTGTTCGGCCCATATGACTAGGAATAAGGCCCTTTTGACTTTTTGTCACGGCCCATTTGACTTTCACCTTGGCCCTTTTGACTTTTTCCATCGGCCCTTTTGACTTGGCACTTCTCGGCCCTTTTGTCCTTCGGCCCATTTGACTAGATCCCGTCTCAGCCAAACAAACCCTAGATTGATAGCATGTTATCAAGTACAGAATTTATCTGTGCAGTCCAATTTTCATCTTTTGGAAACTAAACGTTTGTGCTCAGAATAATAATTATTTTTGCATAAATAATCTTTGACAAGTTTAAGTCATTTCACTAATATCACTAATGGAGCATTTCCTGACATCCCCAAGAGAATTCAAATAATACCATATCAATTTATTTCATTTAAATACAAAAGTCATTAATGTCACAAATTGAGCATTTCCTCAAATCCTCAATAGATCTTCAAGAATAAGAAAAAAAAATAATTAATTTTCCCCGCCCAAAAAATAAAATCCTAATGTTTTTATTGGCCAAAACTGTAAACTTACAGAAAAAGTGTTTTTCCATTTTTAATTTTTTTGTTGCCCCATGTACACTTTATACATTGCCAAAAGTAAAATACTTTGAGTATTTGACCGGTGATTTTATTTTCATTTTTCTTCCCTCCTGCCTTTAGGTTTTCTGAGGACAAAAATCCGTAAAACAAGAAATAAAATAGGTCTGGCCTTATGGAGCTTTTGGCAATATTCTAGTAATATAACAGCGATTGATAGGGTCAGCCAAACCTGACATGTAGGGATTTGAACCTGGAACTCAGCCATAAGAAGCAAACAAGTCAGTTGATATGAATGTTACCCATTGTAACTTTGAAGACAGGATATGAAGAGAAAAACCAAATACATACAAACCCTGCCGAGAAACTACACTCAGGTCAACCTATTGTTCAGATGACAAACATTATATTGTTCTCAATAATTACTAAAGATGAATGTGACGCTTTAACTGACCAATTAACCTGATTAGCATGGAAAAACACTCAATGGACGTGCAAATATTAGAAAGTTATCACAATCCATTTTTCTACTGTTATGGGTAATATTCATTGGATATTCATATCACACCAAATTAAAACCATTAATAACGAAATTACAAAAATGTGACATAAGATCGTGTGTACAACTGTGTTTAAAATCACTTATACGCAGTCTGCCGGCAATAATTGAGGGAATATGAGATGGAATATCGGTAATATGGATGAATAACTTCTATATTACAGTGAGAGCAACGTTTCTGGGGAGGTCCAGTGACTTGATAATGGTGTTAGAACCTACACTGA